TTATGATTCCAAAAAGTTACAAATTGGTTAGGGTTTTATCGTTTTCAAATACATATAATAGAACTGAGATTGCATTTCATTTCGATTTAACGTTTTTGACGATTCTTTGTTTGAATGTCATTCATGAATCAAAGATCAAAATCTGGGTTTATGAAGTGGTTCATTAGTTTACTTGAGGTTTTGATTTTGATGTTGTTATATGAAACAGAGTTCTTCAAGATTAGCTGGAATGCCCAACTGGGGAACAGCAACTGTTGTTGGGATATTTGCAGGATTGCTTTATGGAGGAAGCAAAGAAGCTTCTGCTTCTGTGGTATGTTAAGAGTTTGAAGTATACAAATTCCTTATTGAGATTTATGTTTAGGTTCCACTATCTTTGTGTATGCTAGTAACTTAGTGACTTCTAAAATATCGAGACTTTAGCTGAATCTCGTATGCTAAAATCGGTGTATGTGGTTTGAAACAGAGTAAGGATGCAGAAGTGATGTTGAAGATGGGTAGTACACAGGATAAGCGTGAACAACACAGATTGATGCGAGATGCGATGGAGAAAAGATTCATCCGAGTAACTCGTGGCTCCATCATTGGAGGGTTACGCCTTGGAATGTTCACTGCCTCATTCTTTAGTCTACAAAACTTTTTAGCTGAGACGCGAGGAGTGCATGATGTTTTCAATGTTGTAGGAGCTGGTTCAGCAACTGCTGCAGTATTTGGCCTAATCAGTACTGAATCAAACCACACTCTCTGCATCCTCCTTTGGACATATTAGATTCAAGATGTTGACTTCTTGTTTCCTAACATCATTATCTATAATCAAAATGTGGCAGTGCCGGGGTCTCTTGCTTGGCGCGCGCGGAATGTGATGCTTGGTTCAATTCTTGGAGCTACAGTCTGCTTCCCTCTTGGTAAATTTGCAGCTTGCATTACATTTCTTACAAGTTGTTACCATATAAGAGAGAGAGAGTATAGCTCAGGGACTGCTGAAATGAAAACCGTATTGGTTCAACAGGTTGGGTACAACTGAAGCTCATGGAGAAAGCAAACGAAGGCAACAAAGAAGACACGAGCCACCATGGCGAGGTCACGAGTGGGGTTGGTGCAGCCATTGAGAGGCTCGAACAACAGTTGAGAAAATAAGAAAGGGCACACAGACAGTTTTGTACGCTTGAGAAAATATGAAAGGGCACACAGACAGTTTTGTACGCTAAATTCACTTCTAGGTCTTGTCTAAAGCCAATGGGAATAAGATTATGAACATAAACATTTTGTTCTTGTGTAATCACGTACAACTTTCCAAGTATACAATATCAAAACCTTGAAGGGTTTTCTATTATTTTCCCATTTTCCATCACCATGATTCGATAACACTCTTTGCTTCACCACTGTTACTACCAGAAGAAGAAGAAAGTTTTCTACTCCAATACTCTACACTTTCACCACTAACCCGTGCATCCTCATCATCTTCTTCGTCGAAATGATATTCAACACCTGAATCTTCTAAATCAAACAAATTCTCAAACCCATCTTCATATTCATCATCTAGATCACTGATATCTCCATCACTGTTATCATCATGTCTATACTCATCCATGCTTTTACCGCCAAGTAAGGCGCCTTTCCTTCTCCGTTCACGTCTAATTCTCTTTCCTTCTTGAACAAGATCTATCAAACGTTCTCTTATCACCAATGTCTCATCTATCTCTAGAAGATCACCATCGTCATTGTACGCTTCGACGAGAAATACAGAGTCTCTTGTGCCTTTTAGACTCACATAGAACAGCTCTGGATGTCTCACTATCAATGCTCTTAACTTGTTTGGTAAACCAAACTCCTTCCTGAAATGTGTCAAATGGTCAATCAAAGTCCTTTTCTCGACCGTTAACCCCAATACTTCTCTTACGACCGCGCACGCTCGCTTCTCTGCCTCAATCGACTCGCTTGCCAGACATTCAGATGATGAATTGTAAGGACACACATCAGGTGATTCTCTGAATTTGATCAAGTAATCTTGGTGTCTTCTCTTCAAGTTTAAACCTTTCCGAAGATTCAAACGCTTGAATTTCAAAGGACGATCAACAATCAAACCTCTATTAACTTCAGGAGATGGCATTTGGTTCGCCAATTCTGGATCCCACGAAACAAGCTCGAGCGCTCTGCCATAGGAAGTATCCACAGTCTTGAACTTGTTGGGATACTCATTGCAGAGCCGAGACCTGAAATTAGGAGGGAAGCCAAAATCCGGACCGATGTGAACCAGTTTAGACAAAAGCAACCTTCGGTGAGATGACAACATTAGCAGCTTCTGAAGCTTAGTAGCCAATTTATCAGAAATTTCAGACTTGAAATTCAATTCTTGCATCGCAAGGGACAATGCAGCCGATGTCATACGAACACAGAGTTGAGATAACGGTTTAGTGGCATTCATAGGCAAATGTGGTGTAGGTGTTGTAAACAGTTCAAAGATTGTGGGATACCGACGAATCATGGAGAGAATTGTCCGAGGATTTTCGATGCAGAGGTAAGACCGGCATTTGTAGAGGATTTGAATTGGTATGTAATGCTTTGGTTTAGAGAGAAGTAATGTTTTCAACTTCTGCACAAACCGAACTCTGTTCTGCTTCACCACATGCTTGTCTAAGGATGGACTCCGGACAATCTTGTGAGCTGAACATAAGATGTCCAAAGACAAGCTTCCGAGTTTCTTGGAAGGTGATTTAGTACTTAGGTTACATCTGCGAATCTCCAGAGGAATTGATGGGTGGAGGAAGCTGGAGAAAAAGAAGAGCTTTTCTGGAGAGGAAGGAAGCAATGGAGTAACAGCCATCATCATCCACCAATCAGTATCTCAGAAATTCATGTTCTTGAACCTAAACAAAATAAAATAACGGATCAAACTTTTAATACCCAATTAATCATAAATCTACCAATAGAAGCAGCTCTCTCAAGCATTTATACAAACACATGGTGCGCAACTATAAACACTCAAAGGACTAAACTTTTCTTCAGTAAAAATTATCACTTTCTCCGGCGTAATGGATAGTACAAGTAGACTCTATACACACATGGGA